AGTTCACTGCGCGCGGCGAGTTTCATTATCAGGTGTTTCGTTAGTTTGAAAGCAGGAGACAGAAACATTTTATGGTGTCCCTAGAGTTCATTTCTTTCCGATACACCGAGTGCTCATTAAAATACAGATACCTGAAGCTCAATTAGACGACATTGCATTGGAAGGGATCATGTAATATTTGTAAAGACAACCTTATGAAATAAAATTTTTTTAACAGTATCTAACACTTCTTTGACTGGGCCTATTTTTTACTCTAATCCAGACAAATTCTCCTGAGAAAAAGAATTTTTCTAAAATGCTCGTTCACTGGGAGACATCCGTGCAAACGCCCACTTTGCCACGAACTTTTCGAAAATGCTGACCAACTGCACTTTGTTTATTTTGGGACCACCTTTTGTTCCACCCACCCCTACTTAAATCCAGGGTTAGTAATAATGCAAACATGGATGTAAGTGGAGCTTAGATGAGGAAGTGAGCAATGGTTATCCATTTGAACACAAATTTTGTGTTGTTTTGATGCAAGTTTTCCTTTGGGTTGAAATTTTTCTTGCCAGTTTATTTGAATTTGGTATTCTATACACCGCTTTCATAAATGGCTGCTGGATTGATATTCTTTTGTTTAAATTCAAATTAGCCTCACTAGCCTCGCTTGAGATAATGCATTCTTTTGAATTTTGAACTGGAGAACGAGGCCAGAAAGGCTAATTTGAATTTAAACAAAAGAATATCAATCCGGCAGCCATTTATGAAAGTGGTCATTTGTCTACAATAATGTTTAGAGATCTGGGACCACATACTTGAAGGATCAATTTTAAACTAGTTTTGAATTAAAAACAAAATGGAAAAAATTTGAGACACAACATCTTCTATATGTATGCATCTCAAAGTATTTTTAACCTCAAAAGGCTTTTTTGTTGTCCATGAGTATTGTATCAACAGTGTAATCAAATTTCAATTTCTTACAATCATGTTTTTCATTGATCACCCAAGGATCAGACCCATTGATCTCCCAAAGTGCTGTTACAAAACTGGCGGTTTTTACAGCAGTAACATTTTGTCTGGTGGCACTCATGAAGTGGCATTTTAGTGGAGGAGTGTGCAAAAGCAAGGCGAGATTAGATGGTAAGAGTGTATATAAGCAGGAATAATAAGATTAGATGGTAAGAGTGTATGTAAGCAGGAATAATAATGATGAAAGAATGCACTCTACAGGTTTATTTTCAACTCTCCACAAATTGAGTTGTTGTAACTCATCATCAAAGGCTTTTTCTCTTGATTTCACAGTGTTTGTGGGCACTGTTTTATTTTGCATCATGAAGGGAATATCACTTATGAGGATAATGTAGCGTCTATGTTTGGAATTTCGCCTTCTCAAATCCCAAAGAACCTCACTTGGGAGGAAGAGAAGTACCTCTGTTGAAAGTATCGTTGCCTTCACTTGCTGAACGCTAAGATCGCTTAGACGTGCCACAGTCCTGCATTTAGAACCGTTTGTTGCCATGATTCAAGACAAACACGCCGAACATTAAGATAAGGTTCTGCAAGACTAAATTTAATGACGTAATTGCCACACCTTCATGGTTAAAATGCGCTAAATATAAATATAGGAATGAAACAACTCAAATGCAAATTCCGTTCAATTGAAATTCCCATTTGGGCTCCAATTTATCTTCTCCCTGAAGATTATGTTCTTTACAGGAAATAAATAAATAAATAATGTATAAGTAAACTGCGTTAGTTGATCATATTAGAGTAAGAATATTCATCCTTTTCAAAAGTATTGAAATATTTTTGTTGCACCTGAACATAATTTTGGCTTTATTTATTATAAGAACGACTGAAGTAATTAAATACAAACATACCACGCTTCGAAATAAGCCTTACCATTAATCGTAGTTTATATATCCAATTTGTCACTGAGAACATTCCGACAGAACATGGTTGATTCACTTCAAGACATATGTATCTGCTACATGAAAACTTCCAAGTTGAACGAAAATTATGCTCTGGCTGTCGAACCAGGTTACATTGCAAGACAGATATTTATCCCTCGGATTGAAGACTCACCTGTTGTATTCATTCATTCTCGATGCACAATTAAGGACGGAAATTTTCAGCGCAGAATCACTTGCGGATTTCACGTCTCGAGGAAAACGTTTTTGTTTGGTGTATTCGAAGGTTGCATTTGCCAAGATCCTCGAAATTTAGTACAATGGTGCAGTGAAATCAGCTCTAAAGGTAAGCGGCATGGACGACGTGTTCTTACATGCTGTTAGAAATTGGGGCAAATCTGGTCATTTAGTTTCACCCGCATTGGATGCTTCAAGACGAACCCTGCGGACAAAATTCCGTTCGGTTTACCCGTTAGAAATGATTGTTTTTATCTATGAAGATTTCGCAGAAGGAAAAGTGTCTGGTAAATTCGTAGTCAAGGGATGTTACGTAATGTATTTCAATTTTGTTTTTCCAACACTAGAGCAAAAGTGTTGGGATTGATATCAACGTTTGTGAATCCTGGAGAACTCAAA